ACCATCCACTGGTCAATACCCAGACCAATCCAAGCAGTGATCTAGCCCTTCCAGTTAACTGCCCCAAGTTTATATACCAGGCATGACGTGCAGTGGTATGGAATACCCCTTTGGCTAGTTTGGGTCAGGTGTCCTGTCTCTGCTTCCTCCCAGCTTCCCCTCTCCCTGGCAGAGCATGAGACACAAAATGTCCTTGGTCAGAGTGAATATTACTGAGCAACAACTAAAAACATCAGTGTTACCAGTGTTGTTCTCAGGCTGAAAGTCAAAACCACAGCACTGCACCAGCTACTAAGAAGGAGAAAAATGACTGCAACTGCTGAACTCAGGACAGTATCCGCTCCTTATTCCATACCATTCACGTCATGCTCAGATACCACAGTTTTCAATATACTATCACTCATATACATATATATATATATATATATATATACACATATCCACACAAACACAGAGAGAGAGATATGATTCCTTAGTGCATGGACCAATCCCTATAAAGCGTCTGAGTTCATCCAGTCCATGACGTTGAACTCCATCTCCTGTAAGAGTCTTTTAGAGCAGGTGAGAGAGTGCGATGTAGTCAATCTTCCAGGCCTCCCCATATTTGTACTTCAGCTGTTGTCCTCCATACCAAAAAGACTTTAACTACTTGGCTTGCTTAATGGCAGCCCATTTCACACTAGTGAATAACCTCGGCAATAGTGTCCATCGCTAAGTCCACCCCTTGATCATGCGTCCATCTCTATGTTGCATCTCTGCCCTGATGGCCTGAAGTGTCATGGGCCCACCAGGCTCAAAATAATTCACCCTCCCCTTCAGCAGTTTCTACAGGTTGTTTCTGGGGACTCCATACAGCTGCCTTCCATCTCCAGCTCTTTCAGAGCACTGGAGGGGCCCAGTGGACTAGATACTTGCCCATACTATCCCACACAGCCTGCCACTTATGAGTGTCCAGCTTGGGAAAAATGACTTGGTGGTCCTCCTATATCGTCATCTAACCCTAGACAAGACCCAAACACAACTCCGCTTAACTTTCGAGATCAGGAGAAATAGTCATGGGCAAAAAACACTCTGTACATGTGCCAACGTGGTGATCCCCATCACAATCAGCAGGCAGGTCCAAGGGTACCCAAAGGCCATTCAAAACTTTCAAAACTCTCAAATGATACTGCCGTACTTGTCACCGGGGCTGGTGTAGCTGCTGTGCTTGGAGCTGGAGTAGCTGCACTGTCTGCTGCAGTCGGAGTTTGAGTAGCTGCTGTACTTGTCACTAGTGTGTGTGGGAATGTCTCCCTCACAGGCTGACCACCTGAGAAGGGGAAAAAGATGTGTAATTGTTAAGCACTTCTATTATATACCTCCCAAAGTATAGAGATGGTGACCACACTGGGAGCACAAGCCAGATCAGTTTCATGATCAATGAGTCTATCGTATTACAAGTCATTACCGTAACATACAATGAAACAAGAACCTTAGCACAAGCCCCCAGAGCTGATAAACACTAAGACAGCAAATACCAGCTGTAAGGTACAACATGTTGAAACTCCGAGATCAAGAGCAACAACTTTGAGAGCCAATAAATCAGCACTGTGACAAGTGACTATTAATCCAAAACAATGGACGCTTATCACAGATACAATTAGACACACTCTGGTCAGATCTGTCATTATCTCAACCCTTCATGCCCCACGTTGGGCACCAAAAAGAATTGTCATGGTTTAAGCCCAGCCGGCAACTCAGAACCAGGCAGCCGCTTGCTCACTCCCCCCTCCCCCGCTTCCTCCTCCTGCTCCAAGAGGGATGGGGAGGAGACTCGAAAGAATGTAACTCCCACGGGTTGAGATAAGAACAGCCCAGTAACTCAGGTATAACACAAATCACTGCTGTTACCATCAATAATAATAATGATAAGGGAAATAACAAGGGGAGAGAATACAACCGCTCACCACCTGCTGACCAATACCCAGCCTGACCGAGCAGTGATCTAGCCCTTTCGGGTAGCTGCCCTCAGTTTTACATCCTGGACATGACATGCTGTGGTATGGAATACCTCTTTGGTCAGTTTGGGTCAGGTGTCCTGTCTCTGTTTCCTCCCAGCTTCGCCCCCTCCCTGGCAGAGCATGAGACTCAAAAAGTCCTTGGTCAGAGTAAACATTACTGAGCAGCAATTAAAAACATCGGTGTTATCAGCACTGTTCTCAGGCTGAAAGTCAAAACCACAGCACTGCACCAGCTACTAAGAAGGAGAAAAAGTGACTGCTACTGCTGACCCCAGGACAGACCTCAAGACTTTCAGGAATCAAGCACCTTTCACTGAAGTGGTGGAAAAGGTTGGCAGATACTCTGAGTATCTGCCAGCATTCAGAGGAAGAGGGAAAATACAGGAGCACCACAGCTGGTGGATACAAATCTGTTCTAGCCACAATTACCCCAACATACAAGTGTCCAAATGGGTCTCCAACCACAGTCACTCCTGATGTCCAGAGCTATGTAAGATAAAAGCCAAGTCGTTAATTAGGCATTGATACCTCCCTCCACAGGAAATGGTTTCTTTTTCTTCACTACTCTCTTGGATGCTCCCTCTCCTTTCCCCTTAGTCCTTGACATTTGTACATCGATGTACAGGCTTTCCAGCTGTCCATCCAGGTCTTTGCTGAGACCTGATGATTTCTCATGCCCTCTGATAGAGGCTTTTCCATTTTCAAGAGGTTTTTCAAGTGTTAATAATCCACCAGGGTAATACTGTTGGAGAAAGGTAAATACAAACAGAAAATCTAGCAGTAGGGCTCTGGGAAACAGAATTTTGCAGGGCTGACCCAGCGTTTGTCTAAGATAGAATCATAGAATCATAGAATAGTCAGGGTTGGAAAGGACCTTAACATCATCTAGTTTCAACCCCCCTGCCATGAGCTGGGACACCTTGCTCTAAACCATATCACCCAAGGCCTCATCCAACCTAGCCTTGAACACTGCCAGGGGTGGAGCATTCACAACCTCCCTGGACAACCTATTCCAGTGCCTCACCACCCTAACAGGAAAGAATTTCCTCCTTATATCCAATCTAAACTTCCCCTGTTTAAGTTTTAACCCATTACCCCTTGTCCTATCACTACAGTCCCTAATGAAGAGTCCATCCCCAGCATCCCTATAGGCCCCCTTCAGATACTGGAAGGTTGCTATGAGGTCTCCACGCAGCCTTCTCTTCTCCAGGCTGAACAGCCCCAACTTTCTCAGCCTGTCTTCATACGGGAGGTGCTCCAGTCCCCTGATCATTCTCGTGGCCCTCCTCTGGACTTGTTCCAACAATTCCATTTCCTTTTTATGTTGACACCAGAACTGCACACAGTACTTCAAGTGAGGTCTCAGAAGAGCAGAGTAGAGGGGCAGGATCACCTCCTTTGACTTGCTGGTCACGTTCCTTTTGATGCAGCCCAGGATACGGTTGGCTTTCTGGGCTGCAAGCGCACACTGAAGCTGGCTCATGTTCATTTTCTCATTGACCAGCACCCCCAAGTCCTCTGCAGGGCTGCTCTGAATCTCTTCTCTGCCCAGCCTGTAGCTGTGCCTGGGATTGCTCCGACCCAGGTGTAGGACCTTGCACGTGGCATGGTTAAATTTCATGAGGTTGGCATCAGCCCACCTCACAAGCGTGTCAAGGTCCCTCTGGATGGCATTCCTTCCCTCCAGCGTATCAATCGAACCACACAGCTTGGTGTCATTGGCAAACTTGCTGAGGGCTCACTCAACCCCACTGTCCATGTCAGCGATGAAGATGTTAAACAAGACCACTCCCAACACCGATCCCTGAGGGACACCACTCGTTACTGGTCTCCAACTGGACCACAACTCTTTGCATGCAGCCATCCAGCCAGTTCTTTATCCACCGAGTGGTCCATTCATCAAACTGATGTCTCTCCAATTTAGAGACAAGGATGTCGTGTGGGACAGTGTCGAACGCTTTACACAAGTCCAGGTAGATGACATCAATTGCTTTACCGCTGTCCATCAGCTCTGTAGCCCCATCATAGAAGGCCACCAAATTGGTCAGGCAGGATTTCCCCTTAGTGAAGCCATGCTGGCTGTCACCAAGCACCTTGTTGTTTTTCATGTGCCTTAGCATGCCTTCCAGGAGAATCTGCTCCAAGATTTTGCCAGGCACAGAGGTGAGACTGACTGCTCTGTAATTCCCCGGGTCATCCATTTTCCCCTTCTTGAAAATGGGGGTTATATTTCCCTTTTTCCAGTCATTGGGAACTTCACCTGACTGCCATGATTTTTCAAATATGATGGCCAGTGGCTTAGCAACTTCATTCGCCAGCTCCTTCAGGACCCGCAGATGGATTTCATCAGGACTTGTGCATGTTCAGATTTTTAAGATGGTCTTGAACCAATTCCTCTCCTACAGTGGGCCCAAGGTCTCCATTCGCACAGTCCCTGCGTCTGCTTTTCAAGACTTGGATGGTGCTGTCAGAGCATTTGCCAGTGAAGACTAAGGCAAAGAAGTCATTAAGAACCTCAGCCTTCTCCAAATCCAGGGTAGCCAGTTCTCCTGATTCTTCCGGAGTGGGCCCACGTTGTTCCTAGTCTGTCTTTTATTTGCTATGTACCTATAGAATCCCTTCCTGTTATCCTTAACATCCCTAGCCAAGTTTAATTCTAACTGGGCCTTAGCTTTCCTAACCTGGTCCCTAGCTTCCCGGACAACATCCCTGTATTCTTCCCAGGCTGACTGTCATTGCTTCCACCTTTTATAAGCTTATTTTTTCCTTTGAAGTTTCCTCAGCAGCTCTTTATCCATCCATGGATGTCTCCTGGCCCTCCTGCTACACTTCCTTCTAGTTGGCACACAACATTCCTGAGCTTGTAGTAGGTGACCCTTGAATATCTACCAACAGTCTTGGGCCTGCCCCCTTGCCCTTTAGGGCTATATCCCATGGAACCTTACTAAGGAGATTCTTAAAGAGGCCAAAGTCTGCTCTCTAAATAGGTAGCTGCACCATGCAGGATTGACCCACTCAGCCCCATATGATGAAGACAGTCATAAGAACAATGTCTTTTTAGGAGAAATGTCATCTTAGGGTGACAGAGTTTACAAATGACTGAAGCTTTCCCAAGACTTCAGAAGAGTCTGTCCAATAACATTAGGAATAACACCCTCAAGAAGTCACATCTGCATTATCTCATGAGGCTGCAGTCATGTCTGGGTCACCACCATGGAGTTTTTATAGCCAGAATCTGATGTCTTTTCCACAGGACATAACAGTGACTGAGGAGTGGGAGGGGAAAACCATGAGCCACACACAGTGGGGTAAGCTGGAAGACTTCAGCTTTGTTGTACACTGATGGAAAAGGCACCTACTCCCTGTTTATCAGGACAGGGCCAAAATGTTTCTGCCACAGTGGATCTCCTTGGCCAAGTCATCCTACAACATGGCCAGAGGTGGTTTTAGGGTACAAGGAACTTCTGGAGGTTGTTTAGCTCAACTTGTTATTGAAGGCATGCCTCTGAATAATAGCAAGTTCTCTCATCGAAGGATGCGGATCCAGAGCCCAGTGATACGCTTAGTTATGTGATGCAAGCACAAGATATGTACACATCGCTGGTGTGAATTTGCACGACTTCAAGTAAACTTTACTCTTTCTTCCTTTACTCACAATGGCATTAATCAGTACGACCTCCCTCTCCCACCCCAGATTAAGGAGTAATGTTTTAAGATCCTATCTTCTACCCCTCTCCGCACTTTGATGAGCACACCTTTACCATACCCACTCACGAAACACCAACCCAGACTTGTGTGACCCTTCAGTAACTTTGCTGCAGGCTCAGACATACTATCTGTGCTGATACTGAAGGGCAAAGAATTTGAGAGAAGACATGAAGCGAGCAGGGCAGTGTCCTTATAGATCTGGTGAAAGCAGCCAGGACACCTTGACAAATTGCACATCAAATTTCATACACTGAGAACAATCTGGCTTTCCAGTTGCCATGAATAAAGACACAAACCACTCTGGGAGGCTCTGCAGGCAGCAGCTCAGATGTGCAGGTCAATCTGCTTTTCAAGTGACATCAGAACCTCAAGCAAAGCCAAGCTGGTGTCATTTCTTATCCCCAAATCCTGTGTGCTCTGTATGTCTGTGTACATAACGTGCTCTGCTTTTCTTAAGGGTACTCTCTAAGCCAAATCTATTTTAGGATTCTCCTCAAAACACTGTAGTTTAGGTCCAGTTTTAAGACTAACCAAGGTTTCTACATAGGGCAAATTAAAACTGACAGCTTGGGGCACAGCTGCCAAGATGAAGTCTGCTTGAGCACCAGCGATATTTCCTGGCCCAGATAAGTCCTTTTCTGCTATTCCTACAGTCTCCAGAATGGGCTATGTATCCATTAAGCCGTTGATGAGAGCAGCAAATTTACTCCGTTTGCTTTACTACACTTAGGAAAATCAGCCCTCACTTGCAGAGTCACAACTCCACATCTCAGGAAAAAGCCTTGCACTGCATCACAGTTGCCTTTAGGAGGCCTGGGAAGAGAGTCTGAGCTGGGGTAAAACAAGCTGTCCCCGTGCTGCTCACAAGACTAACAATGCTCTGGCACCTTTGTTCTAACATCAAGACCAGGGAGGGAATGGCTGGTGACAAAGTACACCCAGGAAGACTGCAATGTACCATCTTAGCAGACAAATGTGCTGATACAAGTGCTAAATTTATCACACCTGATTAGGGGTTTAGTGCTTATATAGTTTAAACATTAATATTTACCTATTTAAGCAACGTGCCCTAGTGCAGCCTGTCCACAGATGTATTCACCATGACTGAGTTTGGAGACTTCATAAGTGCTCTGGGGGAGTTCGGGCTGTATCAGAAATTGCTGGTACTGCTCATCTCCATCTCCCTACTTCTTAACCCTTTCCAAATGATTGGCCAAGTGTTCATGGTTCTGGATGAGCCTCATCACTGCAACACCAGCTGGATCTGTGCCATTGGCCCCAACCTGACGGAGGAAGAGCAGCTGAACCTCACCCTGCCCCGGGATGCGGATGGGGCGTACGAGCAGTGCTCCATGTACTCGCCGGTGGACTGGGACCTCGACTCCATTGTGGCTTATGGGCTGAACGCCACAGAGAAGTGCAGCAGTGGCTGGGTGTACCCCTCAGCACAAGCACCGTCCCTGCTGACTGAGGTCTGTAATCACCTTTTGATGTGCCGGGGGTATGGAAGGGAAAGGATGAGCATATCCTGTCCTATAGTTTGGTAAGCCAATGCCAGCTATGGTGCAGTCAGACTGAGATTTACACCAGGCACTGGGGGACCTTGGCTCCATCACATGGACTGCAGCTTTAATAACTGAGAGGCCATTGAAGGAGGACCATGATGTAGATGCATAGGGGGGCCTTAGGCAGATGTCACGGGGGTGTGAGTCCAGCACATGCTCTGCCCACCATCCCTCCCCTTTCCAGTAGCCAGGCCCTTGAACCCATGATGTGTCTTGCCCGGAGTGACATTCTGTCTCCCTGCCACAATTTCCCTTATTTCATGGTCTGGTTCTCCTTACATCACCTTTTCCATGAAAGATATTTACCTTCCAAGGGCTTGTCATTGATATTTCTGGGGCCTTCAGAGACACCGAGGGCTGTAACAAGGCATTCCATAGACCAGACTGTTGAGCAAAGGCTCTGTCTGTCAACATCCCCAACTCCTCCCTCTCTGGACATCTGTTCCCGTCTCACCTTCCCTCAGTTCTCCCTCCCTCCCTTCTTTCCTCATGCCCAGCTCCAGGACTTCCTCATGAGTTCCTGCTCCTGAGCTGAAACCAGAGGAGAGAGGCCAGCCTTTGGCATTTACAAAGTCTCCTTGGGGTCCCTGGAGTACTGTGGTCATTTCACATCCAGCTTCTTTAGAGGCTTCTCAGCAGCTGTTGCATCCCTTCCCACTCCTGCACCAGTCCTCCCTTATGAGAGAAAACAGCACTCTGCCCTCCTCCTTCTTCCACTCTGCCGTGCCTTTGCAGCCAGAGGAAAAGCTACCAGGACTCTTGCCTCAAAGAGTCTTGGCCCTTTACTTTAAGCAAAACTTGCCAACCAGGAGGATCCCTTGAGGATTCCTAGGCTGGAGGGGAGTCCTACAGGTCCCAGCACGAGAGATGTGCACCACGATGAAGAGGCAGGCTGAGCCCCTCATACGCTTGTCCCACTACTGGTCTGTGTTCTATGTAAATACCATGGAGGTTTATGTCTTTGTCGGTGGGTTCTCTGCTCCCAAGGGCTGGAGCAAGAGCTCAGGCACCCACCTCCTGAATCCACCATGGACCAGAATGGCTGCCAACCCTCAGAAAGCAGCTGGAGTTTGTCAAGAGCAAAAGCATCTGCGTTTCCTTCCTCCAGTTTGACCTGGTGTGTGACAGGAAGGACCTGAATGACATCTCCCAGTCCATCTACATGCTGGGGCTTCTCCTAGGATCCATCATCTTCGGGCCACTGAGTGACAGGTGAGGAAACACAGACACCTTCCCAGAGTTATTGCCCAGCACCCAGGGACAGGCCAGTTAAGAGTTCAGGATGTCCATGCACTTGAGCATGAACTACTCCCTCCTTGCCTGAGCAAGGGCATCCGGGGCTACCTGATATGTCTGTAGATGTTTGAGGGCTGAAAAGAGAAGGAAGCAGATACAGCATTATGAGGGAATCCCTCAGGAATCACAGTTTTAGCCCCAGCAGGTGCCTTAGCTACCCAAGAGTGTCTCCAGGAACCCCAGAAACCTGAATTCAGGCACAGAGCTGGACCCACCTTCAGCTATGTTAACCAGACTATGTTTCTCTCTTTCCTGTTGCTCTGCTCAGCTTATGGTGATCTAGACAAAAGTCCTCAGCTCCTTAGAGGGCATGGGACACAGGGGACATGGAAGGGAGAAAGGCACAGCATGTGTGCAGGGTGCCTCATAGGGGAACCAACAACACAGCCTGTTTCAGTTCTCAAGAGAGAGGACTTGGGGGTCCTTCAAGGGATGGCTCCTTTTACAGCATCTCCTTTGCCTTTGCTAGCACTGCAGTGGTTCTAAAGTAGAGATGTCCCTTTCTTTTTGCCGGTTATGTCTGGGAACATATAAAGGAGTTTCGCTCACAGGGATGTCAAATCTCCTCTGGTGCGAATGGTTCTTAAATAACTTTGCATTCCACCCATCCCCATGGGATCTCTCTAGATGCCAACTGTGTCTTTCCTCTTCTTCCACAGAATAGGCCGTCGGCCTGTATTTCTGATCTGCATGCTCATCCGTGGCTTGTTTGGTGTAGGAATTGCCTTTGTGCCCCATTTCTATGTGTACATGGCCTTCAGGTGTGTTGTGGGAGCTGCGGAGGCAGGAATTATGATTATTGCCTTGGTGCTGGGTGAGTAGGATGCTCTTGCCCTGAGGCAGAAAGACGTGGCCTTGCAAGGTGCAATAAAAACATATACTGCTTCATGTTTTGAAAAGGGTGACCCTGAACTTTCGTTCTTCTTCTCAGTTACAGAATGGGTCGGTCTCTCCCATCGGTCAAAAGCAGTGCTTATTACTCACTGCTGCTTCGCCATCGGTCAGATGATTGTCCCTGGCTTGTGTTATGGTATTCGCAACTGGAGACTGCTGCAGATTGCAGGATCTGCTCCTGTGTTTGCTCTTTTCTTCTACATCTGGTAAGCAGGAGCAGGGCAGAGCTTCCTGAAGACATGAGAGCAGCGGGTGTGAAGGGTGGCAGTGAGGAGGTATCAGCTCAGGAGCAGGCTGGGTCTTTCCCATTAGAGTATAGGTGATGAAGCGATTCCTGCAGACCTCAGCACATCTCCTTGGAACATCTGCTTTGCTTCAGGCCCTCAAATATGGCACTGGGGGCCTAAAAGTAGGTAGGCCTGAAAAACCTGACACAAGAAGGTGTTTAGACCCTACCCATCACATGTGATGCCCATTGCTTGCAGGATGTGGTAACAGGGAGGTGGGCTGTGGGGAAACCCAGCAGGTCACAGCAGCATCTCTGCATTTCATCCCCTTGGCAGGGTGCTCCCAGAGTCTGCTCGGTGGCTGGTGATAAAAGGCAGGATAGAAGAAGCTAAGAAGGTCCTTCAGAAGGCAGCATCCATCAACAAGCGCACCCTCCCACAAGAACTCCTGGAGCAGGTACCTGCAGGGGCTGCAGAGCTGCTTTCCTCTGCGCTTGTGTTTGTAGCAGCCCTGAGCTGAGGTTTATCCCGTGGACACCCTTCCATGGCCACTGGGGGTGATTTGGGGATGGATGTGGGTGACTCCAGCTTCAGCTGCGCTGCACCAAGACAAGGTCAGGGAAGAGGCTCAGCTGCTGTTGGTGATGAGCACGAGGTCTCTGTTCAGTCTGTGGTTTCCCATGCACAAATGTCCAAAGGGGGTCACCTCCTTGCCCACCCCAAAGCCCTGCACTTCGGACATGTTCATGCCGAGGAGCCTCTTGCTCACCAAAGCAGTGCTCTGGGCACGCAGAGCACAGGCACGGGAGCCCAGCCCCAGTGAGCCTCCTGCCCTCCCAGAGCAGATCAGGGTCACAGGCATGTCCCGCTGGGCCTTTCCTTTGGCTGCAGGTGGAAAGGAGCCCACCAGGGGTTTCCTTTGCCTGCTCTGACTCTGCCTTTCTGCACCTGGCAGCTGAAGCCCGAGACTCAGCCCAAGCCTGGAAGCACTCTGGATCTCTTTCGGGAGAAGCACCTGCGGAAGGTGACTTTAATCATGGTTTGCACTTGGTAAGATGTGTCCTCGTCCCCTCTTCCCAAGCTTCTACAGGAAGAAGAGATTAAGGGTTGACAAGGACTGTAAATTCACTTAATTTGATTTTTGGGGTCACATTTATGACTTTGTGTTCATCTGCCATTTTTCTGTCTCCCCATACTGAACCAGATCTACCTTGTCTGGCATGGGGAGAAGATGATTGTTCAGAATTCTGTGGGTTTTGTGAGAAAGGCTGGAGCTTTCGGCTACCCCTAGGACTTGGGGTATTTTTCTGTCCCCAAAGAAGTTTTGGGTGCAGTATAAAAGTTACTGACCATGTGGGGATCTGTACTGTTTTATCTCATGTAATTATGTCCCACAGAATTGTTACAGATGGTGACTAGAAGACAGAGATTTCTGGGAGTTTGAATGCATTATGTGTGGTCTGACCCCCCCTTGTTTTTGAGGATAAACCCCTAGAAAATACACCTGGCTACATGTTTATTCCACTTTAATTTCAGGTTTGCAGACAGCCTTGTCTACTATGGGCTGAGCCTTAATGTGTCAGGTTTTGGTCTGAACGTCTACCTGACGCAGCTTGCCTTTGGAGGGGTAGAGTTACCAGCTCGATGTGCCTGCATTTTCCTGCTGCAGTGGTTTGGGAGGAAGAAAACCCAGGCTGTTCTCCTGCTGCTGTCTGGCCTGATGTGTCTCATCATCACTGGCATCCCTGAAGGTGAACAACTTCTTCCCTTCCCAAGAGCACAGCCCCAGCCAGCTCTGTCCTGGTTCAGATCCACCTTCCCAGCCCGGCTGGCCACAGACCCACACTCACTAACAGGGGCTGAGCCCCCAGTGTGCTGGCTTCCTCTCTGCATGGCTTTCTCCTCCTTCAGAGCTATGCCTAGTCCTTCCACAGCTCCCGGCCCTTGGCAGGCCGTGTCCATTATTCACCACCAGCCACTAGACACCACCACCTCCTCTCAGGAGGGTGTACCAGAGGAGTTTTAAAAGCCACCATGTCTCCCTTCTTTAGACAAAGAGGAAAGCAAATGCCCCCCTCACCCATACCTGTTTCCGCCTACACATTGCCACAGCCTATACCCTCACCCCTGTTGCTGTGCTAGTGCTGTGAATAATGCTGAAGGAAAGCAAGGGGCTGTACTATGCTTTGAATCTCATGAACATGGTGTTTCCAACTGAGCAGCCCCTGAAGACCTGTAGTCGTTCAGTGGCTTAATCCAGTTGGAGATTTAGGAAATTCTCATTGTCAGAGTTCTCTTTGCCAGTTCTGCAGATGGTACTTTCCAGATTATGGGTGTGCTAGGAATATTTTCCAATGGGTTAGGTGGTAGATTTGCTTGGTAAGCCCCTTAGAAAGGGATGCCCTAATAAATCCCACCACAGAGAATTTTCTTCTCAACTGAACCTTATCCATGGAGATCACAATGTAGGTCTCTCCTCCTCCCTTCAGACCAGCCTGTAGTGAGCACCGTCCTGGCCACCATTGGCAAGCTTACAGCCACAGCCTCCTTCTCCACCTCTTACGTCTACTCCGCAGAGCTCTTCCCCACGGTTGTCAGGTGAGGTCTCCCCATGCACCAGAGCTCCCCCCTGCCATGGCCGATGGCAGTGCCCACTTGTCCCCATGGCCGCACTCAGCCCACGGTGCCCCATGCCCACCCCTTGCACTGCCCCTCACTCCCCAGGCAGACCAGCGTGGGGCTGTGCTCGATGTCGGCGCGGCTATCGGGGATCATGGCGCCCCTGATGCTGCTGCTGGAGCAGTACCACCGGGCCATCCCCATGGCCGTCTTCGGCAGTGTCACCGTGGTGGTGGGGCTGCTCTGCTTCCTGCTGCCTGAGACCCGCGGCACCGACCTGGCAGATGACATGGGGCTGGAGGACATCAAGGGGGCAACTCCCCAGACAAGGTGGGTACTTGGGGCTCTGACTGTAAGGCAAAAATAGTCCAGAGGTGCACATTTAAGGCAAAGGAAATAGGTCAGAAACCAGGATGGAAACCATATAATCTCTTCCTCTCTCCTCCTTGTCTTCAGCGGCAGGAGCCTGGAAACTTTGTCCAAGAAAGGCACCACCAAGGCTGGAGGAGACTTGGAGAAGGACAACTACAAATTCTCAGAGAGCAAGTTATGAATGGACAGGCACATACTAAAGGTCTTGTCTAATCCAATCTTTCTTGAAGCAGACCCATGAGGCATTGCTGTCCGGAAACTGGTCTTTCAGATGATCAACAAAGTATGTGTGATCAGAGGGAGAGGAGATGGAAACAATGCACTTCAGCCTGTTCCTGAAGCCCAGTCTGTTATGCCTGGCTGCATGAGTCCTCCCGATGTGTCTCCCAGTCCTTTGCAAACTGGTACCTGTGGAACCATCCCTGTCGTGTTTTACAGCAATAAAGAATCGCCAGTAGAGTGGTAGTACTGGGCAAGCGAGCGCCGGGCTGTGTCCCTCCTGCACTAGTCGCTCGGGTCGTCGGTCCGAGCCTCCACATTTGATCAGGATGTCACTGCAACCCTGTCACACACGTATTTAGCTTTTCTTTCTATGTGGTGTTGAAGTTGAGTTTCTACATGAATAGTATAAATTATACTCCGAGTTTGATAAGAGACACTTGTAATGCAATATGTGAATAATAAATGGTGTTGACTTTTTTTTCCCTCCTGTTTCACAGTTGGCCTTTGTAACTGCTGTTGGCTCTGGAGTGTTTTCTACACAGAAATTGCAAGTCTGTAATTTAGCACGCAGATGGAAACGTGTTTTGTTTCCATCGGCCACAAACAATGCAGAAACAGAGCAGAATGACTGAGTTCAATTAGGACTTTATTTCCAAGTCTTCAGATGGATGATTTATATTTCTTTTCTCTACCAGCAGCTGCAAAAGCTTCCAAACTTGTGTGGTGTGCGCTGCAATTCTTAGTTGCCAGCTGGGTTTAAACCACGACACAGTTAAACTGAGCGGACATCTGGACTGCTCTCCCCAGTCATGGTCAGACTTTAACAGTGACCTTGGTTGGCTGCTGCCGTTCACCCACAGTAGTTTACACCACCGTGTCATCCAGTGTCACACAAAAGAAGGGTGGCTTCCTCTCCTGCCCTACTTGTCTGCAAGCAGAGAATATAACTGGCACCTTTCCATGCAGCTATCTCTTCAAACCACAGCACTATTCTCAGTACCTCAGATGTGATTGGAAGGGCCTCAGATGTGATTGGACACCTTTATTTATGAAGCTGGCTGAAACAGCATCAGAGCAGAACTCAGAACAGAGTTATGGTTCACTCAGTATCTTGGAGCATTTTGCTCCAATCTCTTCTGTCATGGTTAAACCCAGCCAGTAATTAGAACCATGCAGCCTCTTGCTCACTCCTCCCTTTCCTCCCCCTGTTCTCGGAGGGATGGGGAGGAGAATCGAAAGAATGTAACTCCCATGGGTTGAGATAAGAACAGTCTAGCAACCAATGTACAACACAAATCACTGCTGCTACCACCAATAATAATAATGATAAGGGAAATAACAAGGGGAGAAAATACAACCGCTCACCACCCACCAACTGACACCCAGCCTGACAGAGCAGTGATCTAGCCCTTCTGGGTAACTACCCCCAGTTTTACATCCTGGACATGATGTGTTGTGGTATGGAACACCCCTTTGGCTAGTTTGGGTCAGGTGTCCTGTTTCTGCTTCCTCCTGGCTCCCCTCCTCCCTGGCAGAGCATGAGACTCAAAAAGTCCTTGGTCAGAGTAAACATTACTGAACAGCAACTAAAACCATCGGTGTTATCAGCACTGTTCCCAGGCTGAAAGTCAAAACCACAGCACTGCACCAGCTACTAAGAAGGAGAAAAATGACCGCTACTGCTGACCCCAGGACATCTTCCTTCAGCCTTTACCCTGAATGCCTTACTTTCTATAAAGGCCAGAAGGAAGCAGCCCACAGCCTTCTCCAAGGAAAGAGTGCCCTTGGGCAAAGGACCGGGCTCCTTTATACTCATGGCCAATGAACAGGAGCACCTCAGCAGATCCTTTGGAAAGCAGGCAGCCCCTTCTGGTCGGGTATTGTGATGTGCCACTAATTTTATTCAACACTGTCTTCAGCAAAGTGCATGCCTGTGAGGCACTTTGATCCATGGAAAACATGTAGGCATGATAGCAAGGATAAGAATTTAAACGCTTTTTTACACTCCCTTTGAGCTGTATACAGGCAAAGCTGGAACATCACCACTGTGTAATTTCTGGGCTTTGTCTGTACCAAGCCAGTGGTAAAAGAAAGTCATCTCAAGGGACAGAAGATAAGAGGGATGACAGGAACAGCACACGCTGTTCCTTTATAGTACAAGACAAAAGTGGTCCTAAACCATTCAGAGACAGAAATAGATACAGCAAGAAAAAATGGGCTAGAACAGGGTGGAATAGACTTGATAGTTCCAAGAAAGATTTGCCCATCTTTCTAAGAGACCAGCTGCTACAATATGTCTCAGTTTCCTGGGACAAATTAATGTAGTCCTACACCACAGCCCAACACCACAGTTTTCCATGCACAAAGCATCATGACACACTCTAATTCAAAGCCACCAGCACTAAGAGCAGAAATTCTGCTGCCTGTTAGGCATCCTTGCTCACTGCTTGCTGTTTCTCCCATTGCATCTTCTTTTCTCAGCTGTGTGTCTCCAATGTAAAAGATAAATAAATAGAAAGGAGTGTTTTTAAGAGAGGGTGAGGAAATCATGCTAGACACTGAAGAGAAATCACTCCCTCTTGCAAGTGTGAGATGGTTTTCAGTGTTGCATCTGCTCTGGCTTTCTCCTCAGTGAACACAGTGCCCTGCTGCAAGTCTTTTCAGTCCCCTAGCATCTGTCTCACTTGGACAAGGTTCAGAGCCTCATGCTCCTGGAGACAGCGTAGGAAAAAGAAAGAGACGATGCCTCCACCCCATTTGCTTTCTTTTTCCCCTTTGTCACGGTTTAACCCCAGCTGGCAACTCAGCCCCACACAGCCACTCACTCACTCACTCACTCCCCTCTGGTGGGATGGGGGAAAGAATCAGGGGAATAGAAGCGAGAAAACTCATGGGTTGAGACAAAGACAGTTTAATAGTAAAGCAAAAGCTGTGCAGACAAGAAAAGCAAAACAAGGAATTCATTCACCACTTCCCATCATCAGGCGAGTGTTCAGCCATTCCCAGGAGAGCAGGGCTCCATCACACCTAATGATTACTTGGCAGAACACATGCCTGATGGTGACCACCCCGTAAAATGTCCAGAAATGTCCACAAAATGTCCACTGAGTTCATGCAGCCCATGACTTTGGGCTCCATCTGTTATGGAGGTCACTCATAAGGACAGGAGAGGTGGTGTGTTGAATGGAGTTATTAGACACCCAAGCCAGCCCAGGTCAGGTCACTGCCACACTTGCACTGCTTCATGGAAGGTTCAGGTGGTTTCTGCTACAGTAATTCCTATAACACACATCTCAAATATGGGGCTACAACAGTTTAGAGGTAATTCCATTACAGTCTCCCCCCCTGGACCCTTTGGACCACACCATAATATTGCAATGAATTCTTTTCCTCGCCCCTGATGCAGCTCTGACTGATCCATAGACCACAGTCCCTTAGGGGTGTACCTGCTCCAAGTGAAGTTCTATCAATGAGGCACAGTCTCTCCAGGGGTATTCCTGCTGTGGCATAGACTTATCCACAGCTACAGTCATTTTGAGGTTCACCTGCTCCAGCATGGCTTTATCCATGGGCTACAGTGCCTTCAGAGATACACCTGCTGCAGCATGGCTTTACCCATGGCTACAGTCCCTCTCTGCCATTGGATTATCCATGGCCCATATTTTGATGTGCTCCAACACGACCCCATGCACTGCCTTAAAGGTGTGCCTGCTGCAGCATGGACTTATCCACAGCCACAGATGCTTCAAGGTGTACCTTCTCCAGCACGGACCAATCCTTGGGCTACGTTCCCTTCAGACGTGTACCTGCTGTGGCACTGACATAACCATGGCCACAGCTGTGCTGGCTGTGTCCCCTCCCAACCCCTTGTGCACCCCCAGCCTGCTCACCGGTGGGGTGAGGAGCAGAAAAGGCCTTGACTGTGCAACCACTGATCAGCAGTAACAAACACATCCCTGTGTTATCAACTCCGTTTCCAGCACAGATCCAAATCACAGCCCCATACCAGCCACTATGAAGAAAACTAACTCTATTCCAGTCAAAACCTACACACCCTTACATGAAAAGCATCAGATTTTCTCCAGGAACAGCACTGTTGAACACCAGAGAGCAAGCAGTGCCTGAGAACAAGCCATAGGGGGAGAGGCAAGAAAGCAAAAAGGAAAGACAAGAATTGGCGGTGATCACTTGAGAGGTGGTGGTGTCCTGCAAATGGAGACCCTGCCTGTCCCTGGTGCTGGCACAGCACTAGTTGCCTTCAGCCAGAGCCGCTTGCAGGCCCAGCTAGAACTGAGTGCTCTTTGTGTACTCATTGTCTTGGCCACCACCTTTTCCTTTCACAAGTCCATTTTCAGCGCTGCTGTTGGCATTTTCACAGGCCTAATGAAAGGGAAAAGAGTTTAAAAGTAAAGAAAGACCCATTCTGAGCTGATGGCAGCCTTCTCTGAGACACGCAGCCCTTAGCAACCTGGCTTCCCACTGACCACAGGCTCTGTGCCCCTGTTGGCACCCTTCTCCCAGCAGGACAACAAAAGTATCGGGA